TGTGAATAGCGTATATGATCCTGATACTGTAACAGTCAGTAATGTAAACCATGGACATTGCCGAGCTCGACCGCCATGTAAGCGCTGTTTCGGTTACACGAGAGCTAAAGATTGAAAAAAAAGGTTTAGAACCAATTGAATAAGGCTGGATACCACAAGAAAAATTAAACCATTTAACTTTTGCAAAGGTGATGAATTTCTCTTTACTACACCAATATAACGGTGATTAATTAAGTTATATATATGTATGTAGGCTTGGAGTTTAATAATTGTCTACCTTTTCTTCCATGTTTTACTAATTTAGTTACATGTATGTTTATAGGTTTAGTGTTGTATAATTGTCTACCTTTTTTATATTTTTTACCTGTTTTCTTTTTGTTCTCCGCTGTTAATTTCGCCAAACTCATTGTTAGCTCTATTTGGTTGGGATTTTTTCTTTTGCTCCTCTGATTTATATTTCCACCACGACATGAGGGGGAACTTCTTCTGTATATTTATTTGCGTTATGGCTTTTCACTTTTTCTACAATTTTTTTCTTAGTGCGTTGATTTATTACATTTTAATTTCCATTGTATACAGCGCAATTAAAATGAAATCAAGCCACTAGTTTCACATGCGCGCGGCAACAATGACTGGCTAACAATAGCGACAGTGTTTTTATTTTCATACTAACAAGGGAATCTGCGACATATTTTTAAAATCGCCACTATTTTCGTTGAATACTTGGTAAAAAAATATTAAAGGCATTGAAATACTGTCTTCGATCCTTACCTAAAATCGCATAAAATAAATATGTGAGCGCAGAATTTATTAAATGATAGATGAGAGGTTTTGGGTAATTGGAGAAATAAATAACATTAAAAATTAATTTACGAAAACAAAAAAAAAAGTTTAGAAAAATAAAAAAGGAATATGCAAATTAAGTAGCTAACCCTATTTGGATACAGCGATATATAAAACCGGGTTCATGTTCCTCAAAAAAAAAAAGATTCAAGACTTCCGAGTGTATTTCTGACATGTAAAAAAACACTCGTCATAAAAATCTACCGGTCTTTCGTAGATTGCTTAGGATGCAACAAATTGGAGGAGGAGCTCGGCTGCAAACCGCTTCAGTAATTAAAAAGCGCCAATTTTATATAAATATTAATACATCAAAGCTAAATAGAAAGGCATATCTGGTGAACAGCCGCTGCACTTACTGCTTGGCTCTCACCTCTTTATTGACAGTCATAACTTCGAGGTCGTAGAATGGTCTCTCTCGAAGAACCAAAACTTCGGATTTTTATGCTATTTTAAGTAAAGGCCGAATTATAATTCATTGCCTATAATATATAACTATTTTCGTTTGTCCATTATATTGCTCAGTAGATCACTCCATATAACCAACCGGCATGTTATTTACATAGAAGCAAACCAATAATATTTCAGCACTTGATTAATGATTTTTCTGGCCTCAGATAGTCAATATATTTAAGCGCAACTGCGGCTTAATATAAATATGTAGTTTTCTATGGCCAATCATTATTTTAATTCTCGCAGTGTATTACTTGAAAGCAATTTCGTTATTTTTGCATTGATATTTGCACGCAAATTAATTTTTTTGCAACGATTCTAACACCATACACCTGGTGTGTGCTTCCGGCGGAAATTTTGAAAAATTAGGAGCAATTTTTATAAATGAACTTAATCGCCGAAGCAGGCCAGCGAATAGATTTTTAAATGCAAATCAAAAGGTTATCGGGTAGTGAGTTTGAGCGGTTTGCCGCTGAGTATGAATGTATAAGCATAAAGAGCTAACTCCCAACAATTTGCATCCATTAATATTAGCCATGTAAAAAACCAACACATACAAACCGATTTCTATATTATGGTTCTTACTAACGAAAAAGGCACGGCTGTATGACATTCACCCAATGAACGACAAATACATACATACATGTGCGCACACATATTGACATTGAATCCAAGCGTGACAGAAGGAGACGACTTTTTTATATATATTATAATAATTAATTACTTTTGTATGGCATATTTGTTACCATACTGATAAGTGTGTTGGTGTGCGTTCAATTTAAGTAAACTCCTTGGCTGTTTACTTTTAGTCATTGCATTATGCATAAGAAGCGTAATAAATAACTATTTTAAAAAACATAACATCTTACATAAACAAACTTTATTCTGCGTAAAATGATGCGTAAAAAAGGATGAATTTACATAAAAACATATGAATAAATACTGAAAAATATTTAAATGAAGACCAGTGTCCGAAGATAATATCAGCTAATTAGTTAGGCATAAAAGAAATCCCCTTGCGAATAATGAAAGCAGTCAAACAAAGATCATGTAACGACAAAGCCTAGATAAATCAGGAAGACATGAAATGCATGTTGATGTCATGAAGTTTCAATTGTCTGTAGACGTATTAGACGTTACATATACAAGTTAAATAAGAAAGTAATCATTCAACTAGAACAGACTTTTTATGGCAGGGATCAAACCAACGGATCCTGACTAAACAGGCGAGTGTCCTACCACTGCGCCAACATCAGCCATATAATCTGTTGTATTATTCAATTCATTATTAACCAACAACTATTAAGTGCGCTAATTTAGCCGCAATTGCGTTTTTTATGTGAGAAAACTATTTATTTCAGTGCTTATAGATGTAGATCTTTTTTTTTTTTGAATGTTGCTGTACTCAATACAGGTCTCAAGCAAGTCTTATTTATTACTGGATAAGAAATAATAACATGACAATTGTCCAATTGTCTTTTTCTTTCTTTCGCAACGACTGGATATATTAAATCCAGCAGTACGTGATCTATCCAACGGATAGGAGGTATCCCTCCTTGCCTGTTTCTACCGCGAATTCTGTATCGAGATCTTTCAAATCCAAAGTATTTTCGTCCTTCTGAATGACATAATCTAGCCGGCGTGGTCTAGCATCTAGATACGCTGAACTAGGTCATAGTTCCAACCTTTACGCTATTAACCATTACCTACATGCAGTTGACCGTAAATTTTAGGCACAACCTTTCTCACGAAAATTCCTAACGTCAACTCATCAGAGGTTTACATTTTACCTGCCTACGTGCCAAACAGCAAGACGGGAGTGATGTGTGACTCATAGAGTTTGGCATTTGTTCGTCAAAAGAGCACTCTTCTTCTATATATTTACTCGGTATAAAGCAAGAGTGATTCGGCGTTGGATTTCAATGTTGACATTTTTGCTGGTTCCAAAGCAGACTATGACTACAAAGTTATGACTATCACAGTGATATGGGTACTGGGTTGCAAAAGCGCTGGCTGTTTGCTTTTTGACATATTGAAAAGGACAAAAATATCAATTTAATCGGAATACCAAATTCAACAACTTCTTTTCGTGATGTCGAAAACCTCTTTAAAATTGACAATTGTATGGTATGTATTCGTGGTTTCGAAATACCATCGTCAAGATCTGTTATTTGGTCAATCTTTATTCAGGTTTAAATTTTACAGTCTTTCGCGCAATACTGAGAGGTTTCTATTTTCATTGATTTGGGGAATCGAGTTCTCCTGGTGTTAAATCCATGCCATTCAGCAGATTTGATATACTCTGTACAATTTTCGATAGACCACCTCTTCAATGTAGAGACAGCCAAGTGCTTGATGAATTTTATGGAATCTAGTACTACAGGCAAGTATAATTGAGGTTTTCCAATACCCTAGTGTTAAAGCTGCCAAACAGAGTTTTCATAGCGTGGCGGCATCGCACTTCTCTTGCGTTGGTGCTTGGGTGCAAATCAGCGATATGTTTAAACATTTAGCGAGGCTTTTATCCACCGGGGTGAATCCCAGTACTTGACGACAGAGTTTCTTTCCCACCAATTAACATGGCCTATATAGTAAATGTTACTAGTACTACTCGTCTCCCTCCTTGTACGGTTCATCGCACTACTTATACGGCGATAGGTATTCCCGGAATAAATTACATGACCTTATTTTTTTATTTAAATTCTGTGGTGCAGTTGTTTTTTTTTTTTTGCTCTAACAAAACGATTTATATCAAAAAAAAACCGATAGGGGCAGTCTTAATAACCTCTCTTCATATAAATAATTAGAAACAAGGCATTACTACCACTAACGAAAAGCAAAATGCCTTAATTAAATCTCCTGCAAAAAAGTGAGTGATTTTTCCATAGAGTTTATTGCGAACATTTTACTGCTTTACAGAATTAATATACAAAATATATTTAAAGTTGAAGCGGTCCGAACCCTTTTGGTCTAATGTTTTTCAGTTTTTGAAATAAAAAATTACTTTTTAAACTAACAAATATATTTTATAATTTTACGGTACAGATATTGTGATACACTGTACCACATTACCCGTTAATTTTATTGATATTTTTTAAATTTTAAATATAACAACAAAATATCCCATCCTTCTAAGCCTTAAAACTATTTTCATCATATTATAAATATAAAAACACAAATATAAAAACTTAAAGTTTATCGAGCGTTTTACATATATACTGTGCTTTCGACACACTTTTTAAATTTTTTTTTGCAATGTAACACGTTGTAGCTAAATAAATGAAAATAAAAACTGAAACTTATTGAGAAAATAAGTATAAACAATGTATATTCTTTAATTTTTACAAACAAGAATGTATAAATGGAAAAATCAAAAACATCAGAATAATATAAATCAATAGTATTATATATATGTCCACCTTATTTGAATCTGTTTGAAGAATAACTATATGTTATTATTTCAAGAAGCAAGTTTTATTTGAAAATTCAACTTAATATACTTAACCAACGTGTCAGACAACCTGTATAAATTCAACTGAAAATTGCTTTTCCCATGAATTATGCTTACAGTCCATTCATACAACGCTATTTATAAACTGTTTTTCTAGAATTCTTACTCCTTTTTTGTTATTAAACTAACTTAATTACTTCCGCTAACACAAACATCTTTAAATATTTCATATTTCGTGGCTGTTGAAAAGTTCCGGTTAACTTGTTATCGACACGTTTATTCACTTAAGTATTTTTTCAGTATACTACATATTATGTACTCATCAAATTAATTTCAAATATTATGTAGCCTAAAAAATTTTGCTCAAATTTTCTCCTGTCGAAGCTAATTTTTTTTTACACATCGAAGCACTTAATTAAGACATGTTTCAAAAATGAGCAACTACGAACAAAAGTAGTCTTACGGTAGGACGAAAATAATAATTCAATAATTCGAAAGCGTCCACTTTCGTTCTCAGTCTACATAGTGTTCTAGCTCAATTTCTTCATGAGTTCTGCCGTTAAATATCCCGTGATGAGACTTAAATAAAATTCGTAGCGTACATAAATTTCAAATATATTTGGCAGAAAATCTTCGAGAGGTCCGATCATACAATTTGTTAGCCTATAACCAATAAGTATATGGCTGTAGTGGCGGCCCGATTCAACTCACCATTTCTTCAAGGAAAGGTTTAATCTCAGTTAATACCAACTTCAGTAATACAAGAGAATCGAAGAAACTCAATACTCCTTATAAAATTACAAAATCTTAATAAGTCGATTATCGAATCATAAAAGCCAAGAACTAAATCAAAACAAATAACAATGTGCACGAAGCTAATCCGTACTCCCAAAATAGTCTCACAATAAGTTACTAATCTATCGATGGATAAAATCTTGCCACAAACTTACCATAATACTATACAACAACCCAAACCCCATCCAAACCCTCACATTACACACTACTATACATACTACATTAGTGCCGATAATAAGTTAATCCATATTACAATACTAAAAGATTTGAGTGGAGCAGAAAAACAACAAAAGTTGGCACAATAAGTTATGCGTAAACGTACGACATGTCGACAGTCGGCCAATGCTCTAAATCCCAAAGAATTAAATCACGCAATTATAATCATAAACTGACGAATGTATTTATGTGTGAGTGCACGTGGACAGTACTCACCAGCAGTGGAAATCTAAACTAGTGTGGGAGAGTTCTAGTTCTGATCTAGTTCTATACTAGAATGTAAAAACTAAATTTCGCTAATTCTTCAAGTCTTGGCAATGAGTAGCAGCATTCATGCAATTGGAATAATTACAAAATTAACCACACTTAGGTATATTCCGGATATGTTTTATTTCCTCTATTGCAATGCGCCGTTTAGAACGATGCTGAAATTAAATTCAAGGTTCGAACACGTTTTAGGAAATATTATTATCTCTGCCAAATAGTAATGTCATAAATTAGTTAGTATTATACTAGCTTCCAGCTGACAATTGGAGAATTGTCTTTTCAAAAAATGTGTTAAAAGTAGCAGTCGCAAATATAGAAAAATACTGGAGAATAAACTCTTCATTGCTAACTAGGACCATTCTGGATTACGACCAGCAACTTTACTGTCAAGATTTTTCCAGACCCACCAATTTTATGCAGTCTTTGCTTGAGAACTTCACGGAGCTATTTGCAGAATGAATGTTTTGAGTAATAAATCCATGTCAGGCGCAAAACTACCGGTAAGGTGTGAGAAATTAAGTGGTAAAAAAATGAAAAATAAAAAAATGGGAAAGAAAAATGGGAGGAAACCAGAGCAAGTTTAAAGTGTTTGCCAGAAATTAAGCACTTGAACTTATGATTGAAACTTACAGTGTATAATAAGTCGCCGCCGAACGGCTGGTGTTTTTATAAGAAGCATTTATTTCATATCATAAATACACACGGTGGGGCTGACATTTCCTGCCGAGGGCCGACCATAATTAGCAAACTTAATTTTCTATAATATTAGATGGACTCGAACCCTCTTCAAAATGACAATATGTAATACTAACTACTAGACTATTGCGGCCGAAAGGAATAAAGATTTGCTTTAATGAATCGTACTGCTAAGTCATTTTGAGCTAATTTTTATGAAAATCTACATTGCCAAATTTCTTTGTTACTTCGATGAAATATATCTTTCCAATCAACGATATAATTGAGCTTATTATTGTTTTAAATAATAGTCCACGGAAATAGAAGAGCGTAAGACAACATCTTATTCGACACAAGCAACGTTTATTATTATGTTAGTGCCATTTAGACATGCCACAAAGGCACTCACTGGGAGCTGGGTTGGCAGATTTTCAAGCATCTACTTTGGAGGAGTTATATCCATTTGCAATACATAATAATTTTTTTTTTAATTTTTATATAGGGACTTCATTCCCTAAATTAATAGAAAGAATCTGAGTGGACAGAATTTAATTTAGTTTAGCAATAAAAAATTCATTTAAAAAGATATTGGATCTTCCTGAACCTGTAGCCGATCTCCAGAAGGGTTTCAAAAAAAAATGTGTCTGGCGGTGAGGAAGATAATTCTGCATTTATTATTTGAAGTCCGAAAACTAAAAAAAGATAATAAACACAAGAATTGTGAAAAATTTGATTTTTTACCAACTGGCCGCTTCAAAAAAAGAAAATATTTTTTGTGAGAAATTTTACACTTCAGAAAATTATTGTCAAAAATTTTATTCCTTCAATCATATCCTAACAGACATGACTTAGAAAGTGGTGTAAAAATTCGTTTTCAAGAATAACATATTTAAACTTTTGCGAACCATTTACACTAATTGAAACCTTTCCGCCTATTTTCGAACGCCACGAGACAACTTCAGCTTTCGGAAAATATACTCAAATACACGTGCATTCGAAAAATTAATTCGGATCCAAGTCATAACCATCTGTTCTTGTTTATTACGAATGATTTGAATGGTAAAGAATTGGCCTCAAGAGAAGCATGTGACCAAATTTTTGACATTAAGCACAAGGATTTACATATATAATTTTAGAGAGGTATAATGACATCACCTACTAAAATGGGCACCAGGCTGACTTATACTGATTTCATCAAAGCAATAAATAAGGTATCGGCTTCAAAACATAAATTTGAACTCGATATCTGGGCTTCAACCTTTTTTTCAAAAGGATTTCATCGTATTTGATTAATAGTTTATAAGCAACGTACTTCCCGTGAAATATCAGTAACTTCTAGGTCATTACTACTTCTTATATTCATCGACTTTTAACAACTGTGTTAATTCAAAGTTTTTTTTATATAACCTCAACCTTCTCTGCTGTCGACATCATTATGTATGACCAAATTAGATCACTATCAATTATGCACCTACCCGGATTGAGCGATAATTTTTCGCCCGCCGGCCGCCCAGGTGCTCTTGATAGGAGAGCAAAACATTTTGTAACATCAAAAATTTTCGATATACCTTCTCAGGTAATGCTAGGCAGTAACCAAGCGCACTATCCAAGGTACCAAAGAAGACGAGTTGTTTATCTTCATAGATGAATGGTTGCCGTTGATGTTGACCACGTTGATGGCATTGCACATGAAACATGGTGATCACCCCTTGACCGAGGTGGTAATCCGATTGCGTATTAATTTTTGACCACCAATGGATTCCCGTGATTCTGGTTGATATATGTAAACTAAAAAGTTCTTATCAGCGTCGATGACGAAGAAACCCAAATGATTGTTATCCACCATAAATTCAATGTTACAGACTTAGTGGTTTCTTCGAACTGAAAGAAAATGAAATTAAACCAAAATGAATATTAATGAAAAAATATCCAAAGGAGTTTTAGTACTTACCACACGTGAATAAAGAAAGAAAATGGCCATTCCATGCCATCACTAAGATGGCCATTCATATAAACATTTGCCAGATCGACATAGTCTCCACTTCACAATACTACGTTTACACGGACGAGAAGATGAAACATTAAAGTGCATGATGCTAAAAAACGATCATGAAAGTAGTGCTTATATCCAGTGCAATCTTTGGTTAAACACATAAGTTGCAATATGTGGTTCCACAACGGATTAATTACTCCCTTTTTTCTTTTTTTTTTTTTCGGGGCGGAGGATCAAAAGTATTCGATATCAAAATAACATAGCTTCGACGGGTTTGTGTCTCGACTATGAATGCGTAGAGCACTAAGTGGCATCTCTTGAGCTGAACGTAGATCAGCTGACAGATTTTCTCAGCTGATGGTACTGATCTAAAGCACTAACCACAAACAATCCGTCACTTAAGCTTCTATCACAATAAAAGCATACCTTTAAAATCATTCTCGCCACCCAACATTTTGTTTTGTGCTTTTCTTTTTTTTCTCTTTCTCGACAAGCACACACAATTAAATTTTAAAAATATTTCAGTAGGAACATCATGTTTAGGTCAAAAGCCTAAAGTACCCCTCCTTATGGTACCACCCTAGTGTTTATATTCACCACTACGTTATCTTTCGTTAAATACCACAATACATGAATTACGGTTTTAACATATTGACGGCGTACGGGACAAACTTAAATTTCTTACTTGGCATTGCGATTATACCAGTAAAGGCCAACGGACGTGTCCTGCACAGCGAATTACCAGCCATCACCCTCATCAAAAAAGCACAGATTAGTGTACAGGTAACCAAATATTCTAACTCAATAAATAGTCTGCAAGTAAGGCATAAAACTAATCCTGTATTTTTCTTTGATTTATTCTCACGCATATAAACATACACCGGTGCGTTCAATTTCGACGCGCGGTGTATCTATTGGTCCTTCGAGCCGGATTAGGCTCTTAACGTATAACTCTAATCAGACAGAACCAGCACTACCGGAGTCTACATCCACAACCATCAAACCGTTCAAACGAAAATACTTGCTAAAAGAGCGTACACAAACACCATCACCAGGAAATATACATATCCATTATCACCCAACAAACTCATCACCGAATTACATCAAACCAATTTACAAGGTACGTGGTTTATTTTTTCATTTGTGCTTTAAGAAATTTTGTGATTTCACGACAAATCAGAAATATCGAGTGAATCGCAGTGATATTGTGATTATTGAACAATAACTTTATTAGTATATACAACCAAACGGATTTTGGTTTGTTGTTCTTGTGCCATATAAAGCTATCATAGTGTATATATACACATATTCAAAAGGTTAACACAGTTTGCTGGTGTATCAATACAACATTTGTTTGCAACATTTCTATTTCATAATTTACTTTTCACTTGCAAAGTCTCGGTTGACTAAATACCAGCTTTCAACTTCTCTTCACATCAAATTATTTCATTGTGTTGCAACTTATTGCCATATTAACACCGCTTCTTGTTAACGGGGAATCTAACCGCACTTCATTGTCACAAGTTGATTTTGGTATCTACAAACCAGAATTACCACGATTACTCACAAATCACTTCTGCGTCTATTTAACCAATTTAATTATTCAGAACTATTGGACTATACGCACATTAATATATCACATCATTTTGCATATTTTATTGTTGGGTGGGGAGTCGCTTTCACACATACATATACACACACATATACATACGTATATTGAGCCACTTTGTGTGCATTTTTTATATTAAAATAAATTGTTTTCAAAAAACTAATTTTTCTCATAGTATTTTATTCATTGCTTTACTGGTGTATCGAAATTTATCTAGTTGATATTTGTTTTCACTCGCGATAGACATTTGCTCAAACCACTGTCTTTTTCTGCTCCACTTTTTTCACTTGCGGCAAGTGCATATACATAAGTATATACATATATTATATATCGGGTAATTTCACAATGTCACACATTGATATTTTTATTCGCCTGGTTGATGCAGTCTCGGAGTTTGAATCCGATTACAACAGCATATCTTCATCAGATATGTCAAAACATGCGTTGAGAATTCATCAAGAAGAATTTCGGGCACTGTGGGAAAAAGTAAAACGTTCATATGATGAATTCCAAGTGTCTACTGACCAGTTTTCGGCCAAGGACTTATCGACGATAAAAAAGAAATATAAGGGTTGTTATCAAATTTACAATAGATGCATGGAATCTATGAGCAACCTCATCGATAAGCTGGAGAAGGCGAACAAGCAGAGTGAAGACATTCATTCACGGGAATGCAATATTCAACTACCTCCGTGCGACACCCAGGTATTCCGAGGTGATTATTCATCGTGGCCAACATTCCGTGATCTTTTTACGGCTATATACATCCGCAACAATCGCCTTTCTCCAGTGGAAAAATTATTTCATCTTCTGGCAAAAACTGAAGGGGAAGCCAAGGAAATAGTGCAAAATTGTTCATTAACAAACGAAGGCTTCGAGATCGCCTGGAAAAATCTCTGCAATAGATACGAAAATAAGTATCAGTTGGTTAAGGCACAATTCAAAGTTTTGTTTAGTCTGCCGTCCGTCAAAGAATAAGATTGCAATTCTCTGAAACAATTACAGAGAAAAATAAACAATTGCGTATCTTTTTTATAGAATCATAAAATTGATTGGCTGTCAATAGTTACTTACTTCTGTACAACTAAACTACCAGATGCCAGTTTAGCGCTATGGGAGCAGCTGAGGAGGGACAGAACCGAGATTCCAACCTGGGAAGAGCTTGATGACTTCCTTACAAACCGTTTTCAAGCCCTCGAAGCAGTGACAGGAAAGCGTGAGTCAAGGAACGCACAGTCGTTTAAGCCGCATGCCAGTAAATATTGGCACAATCAGGAAACACCCCGTAAAAGGCTTGGCTCATATCAAATGAGTGTAGTCAAACCACTCTGTCCTATGTGTAACACTTGCGAGCATAAAATTCGTCATTGCTCGAACTTTGGAAAATTTACTCCAAAAGAACGACTAGAAATAGTCAAACGCCATTTACTATGTCTAAATTGTCTTTCCGACAAACACATTATTACCAAATGTCCTAGCCTTTACAAATGCGCGATTTGCAATTTACGGCATCATACACTCCTGCATATAAGGCCTATGCAAAAACAATCATTGGATAGGAGACCACAAACTACTAATGACGATACGCCATCCACATCCGCACAAGCGCGTCAGAACCTAAACCCCAGAAGATCAAATAATGTGCAATCCTGCCATGCACAGTCAAACTCAGGAATTTTGTTGGGAACAGCTCGAGTTCTCTTAAATGTAGAAGGCACAAATTTTTCGGCACGCGCTTTGATTGATTCGGGCTCGGAATGCTCATTTATCACAGAATCTCTTAAACGGAAACTTAATTTAAAATCAAAAAAAATATGTGCNTTGGCACAATCAGGAAACACCCCGTAAAAGGCTTGGCTCATATCAAATGAGTGTAGTCAAACCACTCTGTCCTATGTGTAACACTTGCGAGCATAAAATTCGTCATTGCTCGAACTTTGGAAAATTAACTCCAAAAGAACGACTAGAAATAGCCAAACGCCATTTACTATGTCTAAATTGTCTTTCCGACAAACACATTATTACCAAATGTCGTAGCCTTTACAAATGCGCGATTTGCAATTAACGGCATCATACACTCCTGCATATAAGGCCTATGCAAAAACAATCATGGGATAGGAGACCACAAACTACTAATGACGATACGCCATCCACATCCGCACAAGCTCATCAGAACCTAAACCCCAGAAAATCAAATAATGTGCCATCCTGCCATGCACAGTCAAACTCAGGAATTTTGTTGGGAACAGCTCGAGTTCTCTTAAATGTAGAAGCCACAAATTTTTCGGCACGCGCTTTGATTGATTCGGGCTCGGAATGCTCATTTATCACAGAATCTCTTAAACGGAAACTTAATTTAAAATCAAAAAAAATATGTGCTCAAGTTTCGGGCATAAATAATTCTATTTCGGCACACGTAAAAGAAGCTTGTTGCGTTCAACTTCGCTCGCCAATTAATCCACTCTTTGTTATTGATGCATATTTTTTAATTTTACCACGACTAACTGGAAATCTGCCTTCTTGCAAAATCAGCGCAACGACAGTGCAAGCATTTCCAGACTTAGTTCTGGCGGATAAACGTTTCTTTGCCAACGAACAAGTCGATCTTGTTCTGGGTGGAGACCTTTATCCCCACATTCTGCTAAGTGGCATTAGAAAAAACGTACTTAGCACTCTCCTAGCACAAGAGACGGTATTTGGATGGATACTGACGGGCAGTCCCGGCACTGCTACGTCTACCACCAATAAAGTCTCATTTTATAGTGAAGTTACCTTAGATAAACAACTCAGAGCTTTTTGGGAGCTAGAAGACATCCCCAAAAGAAAAACGCCAAATGAAGAGGAAAAAATATGCGAAGACATATATCAACGTACTACAACGCGAAACAATGAGGGCAAATACATAGTTTCCCTCCCATTCAAAATGGAATACCCTGGTCAACTACAATTGGGACCATCCTTGAAGATTGCCTGCTCTCAGTTCTTCCGGAACGAGACACGTCTCAAGAAAAATCCAATTCTACAAAAGGAATACCACAGAGTTTTATCCGAGTACGAAACTCTGGAACATATGTCAAGGATCACGACCAACGTTGCTGCTGATTTCTCCGATAATTATTTTCTTCCTCATCATGCAGTGATAAAGGAAGATAGTACATCAACAAAGGTCCGGGTAGTCTTTAACGCATCAAGTCGGACATCGAATGGTACTAGTTTGAATGACGTGCTTCATTCAGGGCCAGTATTACAGTCGGATTTGACCGTACTCATCCTACGTTGGAGGTTATTTAAATATGTATTTAACACGGATATCGAAAAGATGTACCGCCAAATTTTAGTAAATTCCAACCACACTAAATACCAACGCATAGTACACCGAACTGATCCCAACGACCCGATCAGTCTTTACGAATTAAAGACGGTAACATTCGGGGTAAATTGTGCTCCATATCTAGCAATAAGGACGTTATTGCAGCTTGCTGATGACGTCGAATCAACTCATCCTCTAGCAGCAAGCATACTCCGGAAATGTATGTACGTTGACGATGTTTTGGCAGGAGGACATAGCATTGAAGAAGCCATAAAGGCCAAACACGAAATCTCTCAGGTACTCCAATCAGCTGGTTTTCCATTACGGAAATGGACTGCTAATTGTGACCAAATAATAAGAGATATACCCAAGGATCATCTCCTCAATAAAGATTTCTTGGAATTTGAGGATACGAGCACGGTGAAAGCGTTGGGTATTCGATGGAACGCTCGTTCTGATTATTTTTACTTTTCGATAAAACCCATTAAAGGTGATGACATAATAACGAAAAGAGCGATACTTTCAGAAATCGCAAAGCTTTTTGACCCACTTGGTTGGTTAGCGCCAATCATGATTGTAGCCAAAGTTATTATGCAAGGCATTTGGTTAGAAGGCACCAACTGGGATGAAGTAGTATCTTCATCCATTTTAGATCGTTGGCACGCATTTCGTGAAGACTGTCACGAAATCGACAACATTCGAATCCCAAGATGGGTCTTCTACACTCCGAAAGACCTCATCGAAATACACGGATTTTGTGATGCCTCTGAAAAGGCTTACGCAGCAACAATCTATATGCGCGTACAGAGGAAAGATGCCGTCACAGTGAACCTACTTCTCGCAAAAACTAGAGTAGCTCCGGTCAAAACAATATCTGTTCCACGTCTTGAACTTTGCGGGGCAGTATTGCTAGCTGAGCTAATAGAAACATTAATGGACAACCTGAGCTTAGCTGGTACAAAAATACATTTATGGACGGATTCAACCATTGTGCTGGCATGGATACGGAAGCCTCCGTGTTCATGGTCAACTTTCGTCGCACATAGAATCACAAAAATTGTTGAAAAGGTTGGCAATACGAACTGGCAACATGTAGACTCGGCAAGTAACCCAGCGGATTTGGCAAGCAGAGGACTTTCAGCATCCGAATTAATCAACAATAACCTGTGGTGGAAGGGGCCTACATGTCTTGGAGGAGATC